TATAGGCCAGGCACAGTGGCTCATCCCTGTAATCCCAGCACTTTGGGAAGCAGAGGCAGATGGATCACCTGAGGTTAGGAGCTCGAGACCACCCTGGCCAACATGGTGAAACCCCATCTCTACTAAAAATATAAATATTAGCCAGGTATGCTGGCCCCACACCTGTAATCCCATCTACTCGGGAGGCTGAGACAGGAGAAGTGCTTGAACCCAGGAGGTGGAGGTTGCAGTGAGCCGAGACCATGCCACAGCACTCCAGCCTGGGTGACAGAGCAAGATTCTGTCTCAAAAAAAAAAAAGAAAGTCAAAGGACAAAAAAACATAGTTTCATCAATAAATATGTTGCAAGGGGGCAAAAGACAGAAAGAGGAACCCACAGACCAAGAGTCTTACAGAGAACTGGCCTCCACCAATGCAACTGGGGACCTTGTTTATATTTTTATTATTAATTAATTAATTAGTTTTAAGGAGCAGGGAGTTTAATAGGCAAGAAAGAAGGGGGAAGAAAGAAAGAAGCAGCTCCCCTGTACAGAGCCAGGGGGAGGGGGGCTCCAAAGCCGAGAGACAGAATCCCCTATTTTTTTTTTTTTTTTTGAGACAGAGTTTCACTCTGTTGCCCAGGCTTAAGTGCAATGGCTACGATTGCAACTCATGGCAACCTCCGCCTCCTGGGTTCAAGCGATTCTCCTGTCTCAGCCTCCCGAGTTGTTGAGATTACTAGCATGTGCCACCACATCCAGCTAATTTTGTGTTTTTAGTAAAGATGGGGTTTCTCCATGTTGGTCAGGCTGGTCTTGAACTCTCAACCTCAGGTGATCCTCCTGCCTCAGCCTACCAAAATGCTGGGATTACAGGTGTAAGCCACCATCCCCGGCCTGTATTTTTATTTTTCTATTCCATTTTCTTTTTTTAGAACTAAGAGACTTACAGTCAAGGCATGGTGAATCACGCCTGTAATCCCAGTACTTTGGGAAGCCAGGCGGGTGAATCACTTGAGGCCACGAGTTGGAGACCAGCTTGGGAAACATAGTGAAACCCCCTCTACTAAAAATACAAACATTAGCTGGGTGTGGTGGCAGGCACCTGTAATCCCACCTACTCGGGAGGCTGAGGCAGGAGAATCACTTGAACCGGGGAGGCAGAGGTTTCAGTGAGCTGAGATTGTGCCACTGCACTCCAGCCTGGGCGACAGAGTGAGACTCCGTCTCAAAAAAAAAAAGAGATTTACAGAAAACTGGCCTCAACCAAATGCAATTGGGGACCTTGTTTGTATTTTTATTTTTTATTCAAAACTGAAAGGAAATGATCTATTGGCTGGGTGTGATGGCTCATTGCCTGAAAGACCAGAACTTTGGGAGGCCAAGGTAGGAGGATCATTTAAACCCAGGACTTTGAGACCAGCCTGGGTAACATGGCGAAATGTTGCCTCTACAAAAAATACAGAAATTAGCTTGAGTGTGGGAGGCAGAGATTGCGTCACTGCACTCCAGCCTGGGCAACAGAGCAAGACTCTGTTCAAAATTATGGGGACAGTAAATAAGAGATCAGTAGTTGCCAGGGATTAGTGAGAAGGGAGGGATGAGTAGGCATAGCATGAATGACTTTTAGGGCAGTGAAACTACTCCACGTGATACTATAATGGTGGGTTTATGCCTTATACGTTTGTCCAACCCCGCAGAATGTACAACAGCAAAGAGCGAACCCTCATGTACAGACTTCGGGGGAAAAATGATATGTAAATGTAAGTTCATAGATTTTTTTTTTTTTTTTTTTGTGAG